CTCATCTGTTTTATTGGTAAATTCTTATTGGCATACGCCAAGGAGTAAAAACCGCCATCAGTTAACTTCTAAGAAATTCTCGAATGAGGGAGCCACCAACAATCTTGTCAGCGGATTTATAATATTGGCACTTCTTACAGCAGCGGCTAATCCCAAGCATCTGCATCTCCCCTCAGAAACAGAGTCGTCAGTAGTTAGGAAACACAGACGTAACCTCACGAGCCTTTTTACATTGTTACGTTTGATCTTGCCGACTAATTTTGCTCAATTAATACTGATAAGATGCTAATCACACGCTTTAACGCAGCAAGATGTCGGAATTTTTAAAATCGCGATTAGAATCAACAAAATTTTGTAGAAGGGCAAAAAACCGAATAATTTTTAGCTGTAAATCACCAGCTTTTCAGTGGCAGCAAAGGATTAAAAGCAGATTGCGAAGGAATCTCCACTCCAAAGAATTTATATAAGAAAGCAGAAAAAAGTTTCAAAAGCCCAGGATGTATGTAACTGAGGCAGAGGGTGAGGAGGAGGGAATGAATCAAGCAAGGTACAGGTGCTTCAAGCGGTAGGCGATGTGAACATAACACAGGCCAAGCAGCGCGAAACGTGGCACTTACTTGATCGTACCTATCCTCTCGTAAGCTGAACTGATCCAAATTGAGTTCTTCGAGTATCTTCGTCCAGCACTCCTTACTAATGTACGCCGAGGGATCCATGGCACCACGATCGCATATCACCAATACACGTTCAGATGTTGAGAGATTTGCTTGGTTGAACAGTACCTGCCAATTTTTCTACCGCCACTTCCACTAACAAAAACAATTCAAAAACAACCGATTCTGCGCAGGCCCGGTGATAAATCCAAAAGAGGAAGAGCGCGGTAAATCCGACAATTAACATTTTATGCGTCCTGCTTAATTATGTATCGGAATTTTGTAAATAAGCTTTTCTCCAATTTCGAAAAAGACCTAAATCTACCAGTGAGCCCTTTCTGATACAAACATTCGCATAATTTTGGCTGTCTAAGTTCCAATATTCGATATATTTGATCAATTCCGAATTTTCACTGCAAATCTAGTAACGTCTCCAACTTCCAAGCATATCCCTCA